CGACTCGCCAGTCCAGTCACAAAATATGCATGCACTCTGTGATCCTGAAGTGCAGGGTCAAGATAAAGACGTGAAAGTCCGAGCTCAGACCGCAGGCCAGCCGCTGCAGCTGGAGGTCTTCGCACGTTGGCCGTCAGATCCCTCGACCAGGTAGGGGTCTCGGCTGGCCGCGCGTCGCCCGAGGGGACGGGCTTCGCTCCCGCGGCCGGCCAGGACGCAGCGCCCTCGTCGTAGGCCACGACGGTTGTAGCGCACTCGCCGCACATGGCGACGCCTCCGCAGAGCTCACGAAAGGCCCCCGCGGCGACGTACATCAGCAGGACAAGAACCGACCGGGCAGTAGCTGCGCTCCAAGTGCCTGAGGCACATCTGCTGCACAACGCTCACGGCGCCATCGCCAGCCAAATCACGTCCAGCCAATGTGTTAAGGGATCGGGGGCCGTCGTTGGCCGGCGGTGAGCACGACGGGCGACGGCGCGGCAGCCGGCGCCCGTCTGAGAAGGGACAAGGAGAAGAGGCAAAGGGAAGATGTCGCGCTGGCGCACCATCACCTTGCGGCCGAAGGTGTGAAAGCCTCCGCGCCCGGGGCCAGAGGGCAGCAGGCAGCCTTGATCGATGAAGCAGTCGTGGAGGTCAGTTGCCCTCCGCCCCCATGGGGCCCCTTGGCCCCCTCGGGCTTGGCAAGCTGTCCCTCCTCCCGCGCTTTGCGCTTCTCCTTGGCGGCGGCGTTCTCCCTCGCGATATGCTCGCTGATCCAGGTTGAGAACGCCGCGGTCACCATGGGCCCTGAGGTCGTCGCCATTCCTGAGAAGTCGTACTCCTCGTCCTGGTGCTCGTTCTTGTCCTTGCGCGCCCCCAGGAAGCGATCTCTGCGCCTTTCCTCGCAGAGTTGAAGTTGTCTTGAGACCAACTCCAGGCTGGCAGAGTTCGTGAGGTCCAGCTGGTTGTAGCACAGCGCCGTGTCGAAGATCTCCGAGTATTCGCGATGAGCCGAAACGATGACGTCATCCAGCCCCAGGCGAATGACTAACCTCCACTGGACGTGGTGCCCGAGCGCGATCCCTCCGTTCTCCAGCATGAAGTTCGCCACCCGGTGAGCTGTCCTCGGCCCTGGAACCACTCAGTCGTTCCAGTCGGCGGCCCGAAGCACAGCGACCCCGGAAGCGAAGGCCCGATGCCGCTTCCCGCTGATGTCGTCCTGCAACGAGAGCGCACGGCAATCACCTGTACCAGCGGCACCATCACCTGCACCGTCGGCTGCGACGGCCAGCAGCCCAGCACCCGCTCCAGCCAGCGCCGCGGCGAGCCCAGCGGCACCGTCCGCGACGGCGGCTGCGGGCGCGGGGGCAGCGCCAGCCCCGGCGTCGCTGCCAGCTGCGGCCGCGGGCGCGGCAACCATCCTGCCTCCAGCTGGGGCCGCGGCCGGCGCGGCGCCAGCGGGTGCGCCCAGGGCGGCGGGGGCAGCTCCTTCGCCAGGGGTTCCGACACCACCTCCTCCTGCTGCCCCGGCGCCGGCAGCTGCATCTTCTCCGCCTCCTCCGAGCAACGCGGCGAGCCCGCTGCCGCCCCCCCCGGGCGCTGCAGCTCCCGGGGAGCTGCAGGCGCAGGGGGACCCCCTGCACCTGCTCCAGCCGCCCCAGCGCCCCCAGCGGCGACCACCGCTCCGCCACCACCAGCTGCAGGACGCGTCGCAGCGACAACGAGAGCAGCACCATGGCCAGCAGGGAGCACCCCGGCCTGCTGCGCGAAGGCCGGTAGCTCCGCAGGCGTGAGGGGCGCGGCGAAATCATACACTTTGAACCCTGTTCCGCCGGCGGCTGGCGTAATGTCCCCGTCCTCACGGATGAGCACGCGCCCCGGCCCCACGCCGTACCAGTGCCGCACGTCGTCGTTGTCCTCGCTGAACAACTCGACGAAGAGGTCGTGGTCCGGCGAGACCACCGCCGCGTGGAGCACCAGCGGTGCCGCAGCCCAGGGCAGGCACCTCTCCAGCTCCGCGCGCAGCTCGCCAGCCAGCGCGGGGGTCGGCGGCGCGGCCGCCGGGCAGCTCCGCGATGGCGTAGCGGGCGCTGGCGCCACGGCCGGCGGCGCGGCGGCCACGGGCCGCGCGGCCGGAGGGCTGACGGGGCCGCGGCTGGCCCACCACTCCCCCAGCCACGCCGAGCCCACGGGGAACGCCAAGAGCACCGCGCACCGGGCCGCCTGGCGCATCCAGGTCGCGGGCGGGTTTGGCAGCACGCGACCTCTTCCGAAAAAGGTTTGGGCCGATGAGGTAGCAGATGCAAGCACCGCGCGGCCGTCCAACGCTCAGCGATTACTGTTCAAGAACTCCCCATCATCATCACCACCATCATCATCACCATCATCGGCATCATCATCCTCATCATCATCGTCATCATCATCATCATCGTCATCATCAACATCATTACCATCGTCAACATCACCACCATCATCATCATCATCATCATCATCGTCGTCATCATCATCATCATCAGCATCGTCTTCATCATCAGCATCCGTACCACCATCATCACCACCATCATGATAATCGTCGACATCACCAACACCATGACCAACCTTCTCAACCTCAGCAGCGTTAGCATGTCCTCCCCCTCCACCTCCTCCTCCTCCTCATCCGCATCATCAACATGGTCATTAATATCAACATCGCCACTATTATCAACCTCGGAACCCTGACCATCCGGAACCATCGGCATCCTCATCATCATCATCCTCATCATCACCCGTCATCGTGGACATCATGTCCGTCTTCATAATCATCATCCCCATGCTCATCAGCATCACCATCATCACCATCACCTTTCTGATCATCAGCACCAGAAGCATCATCATCATCACTAGCAACACCAGTATCATTATCATCACCACCTTTGCCATCATACTCAACAGCACCATCATCATCATCAGCAGCAACATCGCCAACATCATCATCATCAGCATCATCATCAGCATCAGTCTCATCAGTACCATCCTCATCATCACCATAGCCATCACAAACATCACCATCACCATCATCACCACCAGCAGTACCATCATCATCGTCATAAGCAGCATCATCATCATCATCACCATCACCATCACCATCAGTATCGTCGTCATCACCATCGCCATCACCATCAACATTATCAGCATCATCGTCCCTAACATCATCGTCATAATCAGCATCATCAGCGTCATGGTCATCTTCACCATCCTCATCGTACTCCTCCTCCTCCTCCTCATCAATATCATCATCAATGTAAGCATCCGCATCATCATCGTCATCCCCATCAACAACATCATCATCATCATCATAAGTAGCATCATCATCCCCATCACCAGCATCATCAATATTATCATCATTATCAGCACCATCATCCTCATCCTAAACATCACCATCATAAACAGTGTCGGCATCATCACCATCATCATCGTCAACATCATCACCATCATCATCACCAACATCATCGACATCGTCATCATTATCATCATCATCATCAACATCATCACCATCACCATCATCATCACAAACATCCTCCTCCTCCTCATCATCACCATCCTCAACATCCTCTTCCAAAGTACCATCATCACGAACATCACCGTAAACATCACCAACACCATCATCACGGCCCCCTCAACCCTGGAGACAGGAGGTGTCACCCGTGACGGCCTTCCGCGACCCCTGGCACAGTCGTCACCCAGAATGCTGGGTTGGCACGGTGGCGGGACTTGCCGCAGGCAGCTGCATGGAGGATGAAATGAGGGTGATATGGGAAGGAATGGGATTGCATGCGCAAACGCATGCTAGCAACGGCCTCGCACGCCCTTCCTCCTCTCTCCTGGGGCGCTTAAACGTATCAGCGATCCGCTCCCATAGGGCCACAAAAGGCCTCTCCTCGGCACTCCCCTCGCACAATTTTTCCTCCATGGCACCCTAGCTCAAGGGAGGCCCATTCCGACACACCTCACTCACTTCCTGCCCCATAGACCCATGGAACCCAAAGGGCTCTCAGCAAGCACCCCAAGACGGCTGAAGGGATCCTCATTTTGGCACGCACTTCTTCCTCACGCACTTTCTGCCCCATGGACCCCTAAGAGCTCTCACCTGGCTCCTCAAAACGGCTCATGGAAGCCTCCTTTTGGCACACTCCTCATGCGCCTCATGGACACCCAGCAGCTGCCGTTTAGCTTCTGACGATGGCTCGTGGTAGCCTCGGCGTACCCCTCACGCACTTCGTGCCCCATGGACCCCCAGAGACCCTGAGCGGGCTCCCGAGAGGCCCCAGAAAGGCACCAAATGCCCAAGGAAGGCTAGAGGAGGGCCCAAGATGGCCTCGCGGATGCTCCTCGAGAAACAACTGCATTGATAGGCGCCGTCACTACACAAGGCCCCAAAAATCCCCAAGGAACGCCAAGATACCACCAGGACCCGGACCCCCAGGTGAAACAAACCGACCCTCGTTGAAGCCATTCGCCCTAAAATGTGCACGCTCGCTTCCCCTTGGGGGGCCGCCGTGACTCCCGCTCTGCGGGCTGAACCCCGCAGCGGACCCAGACGCCCCACCAACATGGTCCCTTGTAATACGAACGAAGATTCTGCCTCCGCATTTCAAATCGACACACGCATCAAGAAACATGCCGCCGTAGCCCCCTGAGGATTGCCTTCCCGGCACCCCGACCAGCGATCCGAGACAAGTCCACGTGGTGGCGGCGAGGACCCTGGCGGTCAACACAACCAAATTTGCAGACGTACGATGAGAAAGCAACAACATACCGGTACCCCTACTCACTTGGCCTCTCCCGGGTGCGTGCTGACCAGCATCTAGGGCCGAAATCCACCGCGGCGACGGGGGGTCTCCAGGACGAGCAGCAGTATCGGCATCTTTCCCTCCACTGAAGAGCCGCAGGCGTACGACAACTCCCCATCAGGCACAACCGAGCCCAGGCACAGTCTGCAAGCCGAGAGCGGGCGCCACAAACAAAGGTATTGCCCCAGCGTCCTCGTCGACGCCACCGCGGGCGTCGGGCTCGCCTGGGGCAAGCCTGCAGATGTTGACCAGCCTCGAACTTACTTATCCCTATCCCTAAGATTGACAAGCCAAGCTTGCGATATCTTGAGGGCTCGCGCTGTGAAACTGAGGAGGTCCTTGAGATCGGCATCGAGACAAGGTGATGACAATCATAGGGATGGAGACATGTTTCAGGCTGGTAAGATGTGAGCGGAATGAGCCGTTGGGGGGGGGCAGATGTCTCCTTTCCTGAGGGGTCCAAAATCACGAGCGGCGAACGCATCCATTCCCACGCCCTCACGGTTCGGATTCCGTGCGCCATCCAGTAGATACGCGGTGGCATGGATAGATACGTTCCGTTCGGCGCATCCGCGAAAAAAGCGCGCCGCGTCCACGGGGTCGCGGCCCGGGGAATCGGCCCGCGAGGCCACGGATATTGATACGTCTCCCGCTCACGAGAAGGTGTGCTTGGGGCGACTCTGGTGGTTCCAATGAAAAACATCAGAGCAAAACCACAGGCAACAAGACCACCATGTCCAACGAAACCTTTTCTGGCATTCTCCAATATTAAGCTCTCTGGGCAGCGCCTGGTCATGAGTTAACATCTACAGACGTCGAGGCGATGAGAACTCCGACGCCCCCGGCAACACGCGCTGGGTACGGCAAAATCACGTGGGAGTTTTTGATCCGTCTGGCCTGACGCCTCCCTGGCGTCGCGCCCTGGAGCTAAGGTGCCCATCGCTCCCCACGTGGCCTCCATAGCCAACGAGACTGGAGGACACTCCCCAGTGCCCCTGGAATCTTGCAGCCGAGGTTGACGAACATGGGGCGGCGCCAGAGCCCAAGTCGGCTTCAGAAGCCCCGAGGATGCGCCCAAGTGCGGGGCCCCTGATTTCTGAGACTGCCTCGGTCCCTCCTCGCCCTGGCCTGCTGCTGACCTGCCCGTCCGCCTGAGGCGACCTCGGTCCATGCCCGATGACCCCTCCTGAGGGGGAGCGGTAGGGAGAGGACCCACAATCGGCGACGCATCCCCAATAGATCGGCGATAGGCTCCCAGAAGCGAATCCGCACGCTCCTGGGCGGGGCGGGTTATCGGGCCCCTATCGGCGATGAATAAGCGCGTGCGGGTCGATGCGTTCCCCGCTGAGCCCATCTACCCCTAACATTGCCCCTGGGATTTCGTGTCATATCTCGGCTCCCTTGGCAGCCGTTCGGGACGATCCCAGCATATCCGGAACGCCCTTGGCGAGGCGCAACTGCTGGAGAGCACCCCGAGGTAAACCGCCAAAAGCCAAGCGAAGACGTCCGAAAACCTCAAACCTAGAACCTCAAATAGCACCTGAGCCCAATCCCCCCCGTCCGTTGCCCTTGACTCCTCGCTTCTCACGGGCGGCAAAAATATCCGTATCCGCACCCTCGTGGTCTGGACTCTGGGGCACGATCCCGCGGATACGCGGTCGCACGGATACGTTCCGCGCAATGCATCTGCGACAGATGCGCCGCGTATCCGCATGGTCGCGGCCCAGGGGCCCGGCCCGCGAGGCCGCGGATACGGAAAAAAAAATCAGAAAGAGGGGGCCGAACGACCATTCAGTCCCTGGGCGCGTGGCTCAAATGAGGTTCCGCGGTGCGCACTGTGGTTGCGTTGTTGCGTTGCGCTGTTGTTGTCGTCGTCCTCGCCAGCGACCTGCCCGCCACCCTACCGCGGCCAAGCCAGCGACCCAGCCCGCAACCCACCCGCAACCCACGCGCGACCCACCCCGCGCCCGCCAACTCACTTCTACCCGCAATTTCGGGGTGTAACGTGTGTTTTTCGCCCACGAGCATCGCCATAGCCTGCTCTTGCACATACCCATCCGGCCCGGCGGCGTCCGGCCGCGGGGCAAGGGCAGGCGGCGTTCGGCGCTGCACCTGCGGACAGGGGCGCCTCCCGGGATGGCCGCGCTCTAGGCGTCGGCTCCATCTGCGGCCCCGCGGCTTGAGGCTGTCCGGCCGTCTCCCCGCGGCGGGGTGTGGAGGGAAAGGGGGGTGCGAGGCGGGATATCCTCCACCGTGTTTGCAGCACGTGTTAAAATGCCCCAGAACTCACAAGGCCCTGAACAAATTCGTAATTGTAAGTTTTTCGGGAAAATTAACGGCCCGGGCCATCGGTTTCACAAAACTTTATTGGGACTTCCCAGGATTCCCCGCGTCCTCCGGTAGCGCAGCGGGCAAAACGAGACGGCCCAAGAATGTCCACCCAGTGCGCACAAGATGGCCTCATCATGGCCCATGAAACCCCGAAAACGTCAAAGAGTGTTCAAATCATGGGTTCCCAATAGGTTTGCGAAAGTTTTTGGCCTTTTCGCCGTTTCGACTTCCCGACGCTCCATGACGGCCTACGAGGCCCCGAAGATCGCCCCAAGACGGCCCCAGAAGCCTTCAAGAGGGTCCCCAGACGGCCCAAAAACGCCCCAAGACGGCCCAAGAGGCGCCCAACACGGCCCAAAAAGGCTCGAAGATCGCCCAAATCGGGGCCCAGACTGGAACCTGAACGGACATTTCGAAACTGCGGCCCCGAAGACCCCCAGGAGGCCCAAAGAAACCCCAAAGACCCCCAGGAGGCTCCCGAGAGGTCCCACGCGGTTCCCAAGAGACACACACTGCTCCCAAGAGGCCCACGAACGCCTCGAAGAAACATCCCTGAAAACTCCGACCCGCAACCCAGGCACGGTGGCGGGTTGGGCCGAAGGCCTCTTTCTCTCTCTTTCGCTCTCTCTCTCTCTCTTTCTCTCTCTGTCTTTCTCTCTCTCTCTCTATTGTTTTATTCTCACGGTATCTAATATATATATATATATATATATATATATATATATATATCTCTCTCTCTCTCTCTTCTCTCTCTCTCTCTCTCTCTGGTTTCAATATTTCTTTATGTGAGGTGGCTGTTTCTTTATGAATATGTCCCTCTTTCGTGATATGTATATCCCTATGTATGTGTATGCATATATATATATATATGTATAGGTTGAGCGCTATCCTTGGTCAGTGGTGATATATTATACCTCATGGTCGCCACCAGGGGGTTCGAAGCACGCACCGGCGGGGCTTATCGTCCCGGAAGCAAAAATGTGCATGTGGGGTCGTGCACTTTTTTATATAAAAACCCAACCATCCTGTGGAGTTGGGTCGACGTTTTGAAGAAACAGTCCCCGCGTCTCCTCCTATCCTCCATTTTTCCTCCTCCTCCTCTCCTCCTCCTCCTCCCCCTCCTCCTCCCACCATCATCATCGTCATCACCCATGTCGGCTCACCCCTCACACGCTTCGTGGCCCCATAGGGAGCTCCACCGAAGGTCCCAGTGGGTGTGCCCGCATGCGTCCTGCACACCGATTTCGGCACACCCCTCACACGCTTCGTGGCCCCATAGGGAGCTCCACCGAAGGTCCCAGTGGGTGTGCCTGCATGAGTCCCGCACACACACATTCCGGCACACCCTTCACACGTTTCGTGGCCCCATAGGGAGCTCCACCGAAGGTCCCAGTGGGTGTGCCTGCATGAGTCCCGCACACCCATTTCGGCACACCCTTCACACGTTTCGTGGCCCCATAGGGAGCTCCACCGAAAGTCCCAGTGGGTGTGCCTGCATGAGTCCCGCACACCCATTTCGGCATACCCCTCACACTTATCGTGGCCCCATAAGAAGCTCCACCGAAGGTCCCCGTGGGTGTGCCCGCATGCGTCCGGCACACCCATTCCGGCATACCCCTCACACTTTTCGTGGCCCCATATGGGGGCTCCACCGAAGGTCCCAGTGGGTGTGCCCGCATGCGTCCCGCACACACATTTCGGCGCACCACTCACACGTTCCGTGGCCCCATAGGGAGCTCCACCGAAGGTCCCAGTGGGTGTGCCCGCATGCGTCCCGCACGCCCATTTTGGCACACCCTTCACACGTTTCGTGGCCCCATAAGGAGATCCACCGAACGTCCCAGTGGGTGTGCCCGCATGCGTCCCGCACACCCATGTCGGCACACCCCTCGCACGTTTCGTGGCCCCATAAAGAGCTCCACCGAAGGTCCCAGTGGGTGTGCCCGCATGCGTCCCGCACACCCATTTCGGCACACCCCTCACACGTTTCGTGGCCCCATAGGGAGCTCCACCGAAGGTTCCACTGGGTGTGCCCGCATGCGTCCCGCACACCCATTTGGGTTAACCCTTCACACGTGTCGTAGCCCCATAGGGAGTTCCACCGAAGGTCCCAGTGGGTGTGCCCGCGTGCGTCCCGCACACCCATTTCGGCACATCTCTCACACGTTCCGCGGCCCCATAAGGAGCCCAACCGAAGGGCCCAGTGGGCGTGCCCGCGTGCGTCCCGCACATCCATTCCGGCACATCCCTCACACGCTTCGTGGCCCCAAAGGGAGCTCCACCGAAGGTCCCCGTGGCGCAGTCCGCTTGCGTCTCCCCCACCCAGTGCACCTCCGCCGGAGGCCGTCGGAGTTCCGCGCCTCGTTCGCCCGTCGTCGCTCTGCCCAGCGGCAAGAGCCTTGCCCGCTATCAGCCAGCCAGCTAGCTCTTTTGGCTGCGCGCAGCGGACGACCCGCGCGCGTCGCTGGGACCCCTCCGGGGCGACCTGCGCGCGTCGCTGGGACTCCGCGCTGCGCTGCGCACGCAGCTTTGGACTGTTGAGTGCGCGGGCAAAGAGGGAGTAAAAGAAGGGGAGGAAGCGGGCGCGATCCTCGCGGTGGCGTCGCGGCGCGCGGGCGACGCCGTCGGGGAGCCCCGTGGAAGCTCCTTGCGGCGGCCACGCCCAGCGTCACGAGTACTCAGAGGCAGTCACTCACAAACTATTAGCATTCATATACAATTGCACCATGCATTGGCATACTCGCATTCATGCACGTAGACTCGCTCGCACGCAGATTCATTCACAGTCAGACGCACTCGCGCTCAGATTCACCCTCGCTCAGTCTCCCTACGTACTCAGATCAATCGTTTTCGTTCGCGTCGTGTACCACGCCACTCATGTCGGCACGCCCCTAGCACGGTTCGTTGCCTCATAGGGATCACCACGGAAAAAAGGAATCACAATTGCGGTACTCACACCTGCATACGGTTGGGTCCTTCGTCAGGCTATTTTTTCTCTGAAAAATCCAGGGTGGCCGTGGGTGGAAAAGCTCGAGCCCCAGCAGCGGCGGGATTGAGCTGCTGTGGGGCGGCAGGAACGCAAGAGAAACAAAGCGAACCGCGCTGCGCACATTCATGCCCAGTATACTTTGCAAGTGGGAAGTCTGACACCTCATGCTCGCGACCAGGGGGGCTCGAAGCATGCGGCGGCAGGGCCCAAGGTCCCAAGATCGCCACGAGAGGGCCCAAGAGGTCCCCAAGAGGGTCCAAGAGGCCCCCAAGAGGGCCCGAAGACGGCCCAAGAGGCCTCCAAGGCGGCCCGAGAAGGCCCCTAGAGCGGCCCAAATGCGGCCCCATAGGGAGAGCAACAAAAAAAACAAGTCGAGCCCTCGGTCCTGAGAGGCCTCCAGGAAGCCGCAAGAGGAGGCCAAGGAGAGCCCTAAGTAGGCCCCCGAGACGCCCCCAAGAGGCTCTAAGAGGCCCATA